CGGGATGGGCTTTCTCACCAGCTGAGCATTGCTGCGGGGTCTGTGCCTGCAGCTCTGCAAAGATGCCTGTCACCCTGGTGGGACAGGGCCCTTCCCATTCTGCTCTGGGCCTGAGCAAGCCATTGGTCTTTGTTCCCACAGAGGAGATTTCCGACCTCACGGAGCAGATTGCAGAGGGAGGAAAGGCAATTCATGAGCTGGAGAAAGTCAAGAAGCAAGTTGAGCAGGAGAAATCTGAACTGCAAGCCTCTCTGGAGGAAGCTGAGGTACCTGGCCAGAATCTTGCTGTCTGCACTAAATGTGTGAGCAAGGCAGAAACAATGCTAAAAAGGCCTTGCTTCTGCTCTGTTCTGGCTGCAGAGGGCAGCCAACTGAGATTTCCTGGAATATTCTCTAATTCCCTAGAAAGCAAGCAGTAGGTTTATCAGTGTTCCCCATGTTTGTGTCCACTTGTCCAGGCCTCTCTGGAACATGAAGAGGGGAAGATCCTGCGCCTGCAGCTGGAGCTCAACCAGGTGAAGTCTGAGATTGACAGGAAGATAGCAGAGAAAGATGAGGAGATCGACCAGCTGAAGAGGAACCACCTCCGAGTCGTGGAGTCCATGCAAAGCACCCTGGATGCTGAGATCAGGAGCAGGAATGAAGCCCTGAGGCTGAAGAAGAAGATGGAGGGAGACCTGAATGAAATGGAGATCCAGCTCAGCCATGCCAACCGTGTGGCTGCAGAGGCACAAAAGAACCTGCGAAACACACAGGCTGTGCTCAAGGTACAGCCCAACAAACCAGGTTCTCACTGGCTTCTGACAGAACTTAATATCAACGATGAAGGAATGGGACTGCACAAACACATCATTCGGTTTTCAGGATTCTCCACAGACCTCTGTGGTCCCCTTTTATTAACCTCTTCGGGTAAACAGCACCAGGTGTTGCCATTCAGTTAACAATAATTCCCAAGACTTTGGTGACCTGATGTTTTGATTTCACACATTCACACACTATCATTCTGTGATTGTATAAACCATGCACATTATCATGCAGACCATTAAGTGGTTTTCCGATTTTGGAACACAGCACTCTCTTTGTCAAAACATGATCAAGGCCTAAATACTTGATCAAAATATTTTTTTATTCTGATTAACTGAATCCACAGGTGCAGGCTGGTTCAGCTTGTACCCACAGCTAAAAATTTTCCTTTTTTTAGAATTCTGTCATTTCTATATTGATATTAAAATGGAAAATAAAAGAATAGGAAAAATATGCCTCCCAATCTGCCTTTTTTTTTTTAAAAGGACACCCAGATCCATTTGGACGATGCTCTCAGGACCCAGGATGACCTGAAGGAGCAGGTGGCCATGGTGGAGCGCAGAGCAAACCTGCTGCAGGCTGAAGTTGAGGAGCTACGGGCAGCCCTGGAGCAGACGGAGCGGTCGAGGAAAGTGGCCGAGCAGGAGCTCCTGGATGCCACTGAACGTGTGCAGCTCCTCCACACCCAGGTCAGGGCAGGGAGCAAAGGCAGCCATGTTGACACTTAGCAAACCCAGAGAGCTGGAATATACCAGGGGACAGGCAGTACTAGAATGGCCTCTCTACTGCTGTCCACCGGGAAAGGCATGTTCAGTGTCCATCACC